GTCCACACAAGAGAATTCCAAATGCAATCCCACCCTTCTCTAACACCTTTCTCTTTTAGTTCTCTTCCAGCCACTTGAAAGGTATTCCAGCAGTCCGCCCCCAAAGTAACATTGATACCCCACCATTTTGCACAAGCCATCCATACCCATCGGACCATACTACACTCCAGAAACAGATGCTTTGAATCCTCTTCTTCCTCACCACAAATTCCGCATTTGCAATCTTGATTGTCCTTGATTATCCCTCTTGTCAACAGATTCCTTTTAGTTGGAATCCTGTCAAGTAGCAATTGCCAATTGAATGCTGAAATTTTACTTGGCAAAACAGAGTTCCAAATTCTACAAAAGGTTGTAATTTCCCTTGCTTCCCTCCCTTCCTTCATCAATATTGAGTATGCTGATTTTGTTGAGTATTGGCCGTCCTTGTTGTGTATCCACTCCCAGCTATCCATGCATCCTTGTGACAATTGCACTTTTTGAATCGAGTTTTGCAATTCCATTGCCTCCTCTTTTTCCCATTCAAACAAACTCCTTCTCCAAGATAAATTCCACTCCCACAAACCATTAGTTCTATTTCCCATTTCACTACACGTCTTCGTCTTATCTGTAGCTAGCAAGTACAATCTTGGAAACATATTAGCTAGACTTTCTTCTCCCCTCCATTTGTCCCACCAGAAACTAACCGTATTACCCTCCCCGATCTTAACCCTAAATCCCTCTTTTAGCCATCCAATACTTCCCCCATCCATTGCATTAATACCACACACATCCCTCCACCAAGCTGATCCTACTTCTCTACTTTCCTCTATCCAGTCCTGCAAACCATTAAAATTTTAAATTATAAATTCTATCACTAGTCATCAATCTCCTTAATATAAGAAATTTTTTGTCAAAATCTTTATTTTGTTTCAACTAATAATGATTATAATCATCATCAATTGATAAAAAGATCATAATTGGTCGTTGTATTAGTTTCAATAGTAAAATTTAAACTTAATGTTGGTATGGCCATTAGTGAATTTATTAAATATAATAAAAACTGCTTTCTAATCCCTAAACTTCATGGTTGGTTAAAAAAAAAAAATCTGAATTTTTGACAAAAATTGATGAAAAAAATATTATATGTCTAACACATCTTCTCTTTTCCTCTCTTTCTCCTCTATTTCCTAGAAAAACCCTAAATTGTTTTCTTTACTGTGCTTAAAGTCTATTTAAAGTATTCAACTATATGTGCTGTTTAATCCTTTTTTCTATTAAATCAATGACAAAAACTTTACCCACAACCCAAAAACAAACTATTGAGTGGTTAGACCTAATTTTTTCTCTTTTTGTCATTTGATGTGATTTACTATTACAAAAATATTTAATCTATTTTCATTTTTAATTGATATTTTTATTTTTTTGGGCACAAAGGTAATTGGAAAATATTCATTAAATGGTCCTTAGTAAGCACTATTAGAACTTCCTTCTCTTATTTTCCTTTTTAAAAAATTTGGGTCTTTTCTCAAAAAATCTTGGCTCTACCATTGCGAGTGAACTTGTGATTGAAAAGAGTAAATCATTAAATGACATAAAAAATAATACATGAAAATTATCTGTCACTTCTCTGTTGGATTACAAAGTGATTCTTAATCTTTTGAGTGTGTGTGGACTTGAGTGGTGTTGATATCTATATACGATATTATTTTTTTGTGTATATGTGCTTGAAATATACGACAGAAGAAAATTTGTTAGGGAGAGAATAGTTCACTAGTAATATCTCCTGTTAAAACATAATAAACATTTATGACTTAAATATAAATAGAGTTATTTTTTTTATTTTTAATTAATTTTAGGTTTGATGTAAGTTTTACGTTGAAGTATGTGATCTGGCAAATAAAAGAAGTGACCTCAGAAACTTTTGTAAATGTTTTTGCCTCTCAACATACTACATAGTTAGGCAAAAAATTTTCACACTTTATTCGTTTTTTCAAACATGTTACAAATTGTACAAAGGGAATAGAACCATGTGTTTAGCGCGGAGAACCTTCCAAACCAGTTATATTAAGGTTTAACGCATGAAAAAAATTCTGTGATATTAAATGAGTTACATTTAATATCCTGTATATATAGACGTCAGGGTAGATAATGGAAATAAATCAATTATGTTAAGATTTATATCCTAAATACAATATATTATTAATCAAGAATTAATCAAAGATATTATTTAATTATTTTAGACATGCGTCTCAAAGGATGGTTTAATTGGTTAAGAATTTGAAATTTTAATTTAAATATCTCATTTTGAACTTTGAGTCAAATGATGAGAAATTAATTAAGAAAAGGTGATAGCTCACATCAAATGTATATACCAAAGAAAAAAAATTACTCTTTCCGTTTCAAAATAAAAATCATTTAACTTTTTTACACATACTTTTAAGTCATGTTTTTTTTTTTTTTTATAGTATATGAATAATAATTAAATCTTTTTATCAAATAAAACTGCCAATGAGAAATATATATTGGAAAAAAAACTCTCAATTATCGTTCATATATACTATAATAAAGCATTATCTAAAGTTATGTATAAAAAAAAGTTAAACAACTTATATTTTAAATGATTATGATTGGTACACACCCAGATTCCACACTCGGTGTGCACTCCTCCACATAAAAAAAAATGTTGCACCGGGTGTTGGATTTTTTTTTTTTTTTTATGTGGAGGTGTGCACACCTAGGTGTGGGATTCGGGTGTGCACACATCATTATCTTATTTTAAAATAGCAGTACTTTAGAATCAATATCAGTCAATTACTAATGTGATTCATAATACCTTAACATTAGTTGGGCTCTTAAACTATCTGGTGCCAAAAGTTTTGCAGTTTTACATGATATTCTGTCCAATATAGAAAATGGAATACAAATGCTTTTGAAGTTTGTATATATTGGTTTTTTATTGATTACGAAGGAGCCTTACTGTAGAAGTAGATTGATTTTTGCTTTGAAATTTCTTCAAAACTATCCCAAGAAAGACTGGTATGATTGGTTTTTTTTTAAAAGAGATTGGTACACATTTTGTTTTAATACATTATATAACATATTTATTAAAAATTTATTATTTTTTGATATGAAATTAAAGATAAATAAACTTAAAAATAAATCTATATATACATAATGTCAAGTCAATTTTATTTTGTTGTTTGATACAAACGATCATTAACTAAGTATATATTACAATGATTGACAAACATGTCAAATAAATGAAAATATTTTCATAAACCTATTTTACTTGTTAAGTAGTTAATAATTCATCATAAGACTTAACGAAAAAAAAGTAAAAGATAGAGCATATACCATTTTATTTATTTTAATAAGGGTTTCTTTTTTTTTTAAAAAAAATATGGGACCTATTTAATATATTTTTTTAGAAGTCTAGGGGGGTGAGTGCCCCCTTGCACCCTTGCCTCCGTCACTAGTCACGTGTTATTGTAACTATAATATTTTTAATTAGCTTAATCAATGTTTTACTAATTATTTTATTCAGTTTCCATTTTTAACGCCAATACTGATACCAACATTTTTTTTTCAGTTTTGATTACTTAAAATTTTGTTTTTTTTTTTATTTCAATTTTCACCAAATTTTAATAAACTTAATTTCAATTATTCCTTAAAGCATCCACTTAGCCAAAGAATTTGAATTTTTCTTGAAAATGTAACATGAGTCATCATAGAATTTGTAACATATACATGCTTTGCAATCTAGTTTTTACATTCAAATACAATATAGATCAATAGAATGAATGAACAACCAATTATCACAAAGGAAAATAATTGGTACATTTCAGTTTAACACCCATCAACACCAATTAGTTTAGCCATTAAAATCTATAATTTTAAGTTTTCTTACTTTTAATTCAAATTTACAAATAATAATTTCTAAGTGTATTGCAAAGTATATTAAACTAAAAGATGTAATAATTATTATCTTATCACAAATCCAAGCAAATTTCAATAAATAACAATAAGCAACTATGCATTTTACTTCAATAGCATAATATTCATTTCATTCATCATTCCAGATGAAGTTTGCATTTACAGTGCCAAGTTAATAAAGAACCCCTTCAACTTGTAACTATACTTCCTATCCTTCAACAATATAGACTGATGACTCTTGAGTGATATATATAACTAAATTAATTAAGGCAATTAAAATAACTACCAACAAACAAATAAGAATACATATGCATCTTCCGACATCAAAAAGGGAAATGAGATGCAACTTTCTATGTGCATTTTTTCAAGTGTCCAAACTATGTACTGATGATATATATATCATTATATACTTATATGCAAAACTGTCCAAGCTAGTACAGCAACTTGAGCAAGTTAAAAGTGTCCAAAAAGCTATCCAATTGTCAAAGTTAATGAAACCCCTCAAAAATATATGCCAAAAAGCTTCAACTTTAAACTGCAATATACTTATATAATTGAAGATGCATGTTCCTGTCCATCAAAACAAAACATATGCTATTCGATCTCGTCAATTTCGAAGATATTCTACTTAATTTGCAACACAGGTTTTTACAATAAAAGTGATTCCTGATAAATGCCTAAGGAATGACTATGTATAAGTTCCTTAAATATGTATGTATATATGCGTATGTTGTGTTCGTCGAGGGATGCATGCAGAAGTAGCTGTACGTACATCTAGCTAGCTAGCAAATTATATCTTCCTCTATATTCATCAGTAGTGTTAGCTATAGCTAGCTCCTAACAGGAAAGAAGTCAATGAACGGAACGGCAGTAGCCTCCTGATCTACCTCTTCCTCATCTCTTCTTGTATTGTCGGTCACTTCACTTTTGTTGGATTCAGTATTTACTTGAAGAAAGTCATAGAACTCGACTGGGTGATTTTTATCTGCATGCACCATGAATATAAATCAATAAGCTCTGAAAAAATAGAAGAAGAAGAAGAAAGAATGAGTGGTAATCATTAGCTTGAAGATTCTTAATTTTGAGTTGAAGATAGGGATAGTTCTATAATAACTATAAGTTTGCTAAGGTACGTTTTGGATTGCTTTCCTAATGCTTTTATGCACAAACATGCAATACTAAAAATATTAAGGGGTTGTTTGTTTTGCTCTTTTAGAAATAACTATCTATTATTAGTTTTAATCAAATAGATTAAATATTTTGAATTATACATAATAATAATTATTAGTTATCAAATATAACTGTTAAATATCAATTATCAGCCTATTAATTGTATCAAAAAATTTAATCCAAACAGCTTAGGAATTGTTATATGTAACCCAAAAAAATATTAAATTTTTATAATTAAATTAATTTGATTTAATATTTTGTTTTATTTTAATAGGATTTTAATATTTATCAGCTAAAACTCTAAAAAAATTTTAAAAAATCGTTATAGTAAAGTAAAACGGCAAAGACAAAAACAATCTTATTAATGCATTAAAAATATGTTATTTTATTTTTTTAAGAAAAGTTTATTAAAACAAAATTTTAAGATATTTTTCCTTTTCTTATTAAAGTGTAGGTGATAAACACTTTTTTCTTTCAAGAATTATACCAACATATAACACTTATTAAAAATATTCTAAAAAAAACTAAGATTTTTTTCTTTTTCCTATGAGGCCATGATTGGTGCACACCTGGATTCAACATTCGGGTGTGTACGCCCACATAAAAAAAAAAAATAAACCAAGTGTTGGATCATTTTTTTTTTTTTATGCGAAGTATGCACACCCGGGTGTTAGATTCAGGTGTGCACACATTATTTTCCTTTTCCTATGATATTAGGACACAAGAACAACACCCACCATAGCACCACACAAGAATTTTAAACGCACCTTAAATTTCAAACGTACTGTAATTCTCCCAAAATAAAAAAAAAAAAAGTGAGAGAGTAAATGCACCCGGGGCCTTACAGGCCAAGCTGTTGGTGCACCAGCAGCCCATGCTCTATGGTTTGAGTAGCCATACAATGTAAAATATTTCTCTTCACCCAAAATTCCCTAGTGTTCAAAGAAGAGAAACAAAAAAAAAAAAAAAAAAAAAAAAAAAAGGCTACGTTTTTGGTCTTTAGACTATTGTTACCTTGAAAATCCATATTGACACAGTGACTTGGGTTTTGGGCAAACAGGTCCTGGAAAAACTTGGGAGGGAAGCGATCAAATCCGTTAGAATATTTCTGCAAAAATGGAGTGAAATTCCTTGACTGATCGCAGTCTAGCTTGGAATCAATTGCTATCTTTTTGGCATAAAGCCTAGATCTTTCTTTGCTTCTTCGTGCCATGATGATATGCCAATGATTCTTCACAGCGTTATCAGTACGACCGGGAAAAAGGCGAGCAATAACAGCCCATCTGTTGCCATGTATCCGATGAGAAGCCAAAAGCCGTTCTTCTTCCTCCTCTGTAAAAGGGCTTCTATTTATCCTTGGATCCAACTGATTGAACCATCTTAACCTGCAGCTTTTACCTAAAAACAAAATAGTTCCATCGATCTGTTAATTAATTGATTAGTTTGTCATAGAAATGAAACCCTAGTTAGGGTTTGTTATTTTGTTTATATATAGTTCCAAAAATAAAACGAAGTTCTCATAATTGTCATTTTTAAGGTCATAAATCGCACCTATGTACTCATGGTTTAAATTAATATTAATGAAATAAGGTTTTTGAAGAGATTTAAAGAAAAAAAAAAAAAGGGACAAAACCTGATATATAGAGTTAATTGTTTAGCTAGGTGATTTATCTAAAAGAAATTATTTAGCAAGGTTTTCATGCATGGATTACCTGATCTTCCCTTGAGCTTCTCAGCTATGGCGTTCCAGTTATGAGGACCATAGCGTCTGACCAACTCCCGGAGCTTTTCATCTTCAGCAGGCCTCCAGTGGCCTCTGGTGCACATTTTTGGATCTGATACTGGCTAGTGAAGAGTATATAGGAAGAAAAGAAAACCCTATAGATGGTTGTTGTGGTGGTGGGTGGGTTTCAAGTACTAGAGCTAGACAAGGAGATGAGGAGGAATGAGATATTGAGAGAGAGGAATAATATAAGGAGATAGGGAAGAGTTTTCCGTTAGAGAGTTGGAAGGTTTGGACAGACCAGTAGCAGTGATTGATGCAACATCTAGGCTAACAAACGCTTATAAGTAATCGGTTTTAGAGAGAGTGGTTGCTTGGTGGGGTGAATTTCGTTCTCCTTTCAACGTCTCCACAAGTTTCTAACCTACAGCATCTACTTATAACCCACCAAAATTAAAGCTCACCACATACATAATCTTAATATATACCATATATACTCATTAACAATATATAATTTCATTTTAATAAATCTCTACACATTATTAATTAATACTAGCATCATTTATTTAAATTATGATATATATAATTAATGAATCATGGATCGTATCCAAACTTCTAATGAATTAAAATCTTCATTTATTGGGTTCAATTCTTGAAGCAGACGCAAATTATTGTAACTTTTGTATGTATAATCACACCATACTCTCCTAATTTGATATTATGCATGTAATGATATAAGTAATATGGTATTAATTAATAGTAAATAATTATATATAGCCATACAGAATTAGAAGGGGTTGGTATTGTTGTTAGACTTAGTGTGGTTTTCGTCATCCTACGTATGGGATGACTTAGGTTTGGATGATAAAACCTTTTCAGACCTAACTAACAAAATGAGTTTAATTAAATGGTATCAGAACAATAACAGTTTAACTGCACGTGTATACACAGGTGTTTAAATTTCTTAAAGATTAAAGTTAAAACTAGCCTTTGAACTTCTTTTCCATTCGACGGCCAAAAACCAAAAAAAAAAAGAAAAAAGAAAACCCTCTTTTTTTTTTTGATGCACAAAAGAAAACCCTCTTTCTTATTCATTCGGTTCACTCAAACAGAACCTTCTCTTCTAAAACTAAACATGGATACTTTTTTTAATTAATTTGTTGTCCAAAAAACAGAAAAAAAAAAAAAGAATAGAAGCCTTTTACATTTAAAAATACTAATATCAGTTTGGCAGTTTGGGGTTCACAAGACAAAAAACCTTTAATAAATCAATGATGCATGCAGAACATTCATTAATATTGCTATATTTCTTTTCCTGCTACCCATACTGATGTTTTTGAAGTGCAGTCCATCTTAAACAATAAAATTTATGTTTTACCCCTTAAACACTTAATAGGATATAAGGTTGATTAACTTGGGAAAAAGTGCTTTATCACCAATGTCCAGGCATAGACCTGACCTTATTCGCCAAGAGAAATGATATATGCACAAAGAGAAATGATATGTATATAATTTATTTATAAAAATTTTATTTGAAATTTTTACATATTATTAAATCAGTGAATATATACAATATCATGAGTTTAAATAAAATGAAAAAAAATCAATCATTAATTAAATAACATATAATATTATATAAAAAAATTATACACAAATATTATCCTTATATCAGCTTCTATTCACAAAACAAAATTTTTATAAAGTTTAGAATCATAGTAAATATGCTAAATGGACAAAACATGCTTATAAACTCTACAAAACATGTTGTTCCCCTCCCCTCTTTAATTATTACATGACAACTATAGATTGGGTGAATGAGATGGGTTATTGATCATGACATGTTATCTAATAATATTACAATTTGTGAAGGTTAATTTGGGCAAAGTACATACCATTTAAAGTTAGCATTTTTGGATGGGGTTTGTTTTTAAGTAAGTTAAAATGTGCAATTAAAGATGCCAAAAGGTGCGTAGCATCCAAACGCTGTGTTTAATATCATTTATTGTTTACAAAGACAATTTAGGGCCTAATTAATTGTTTAAGAGTAGAGATTCTGTTATGATGAGAAGCATTTTATATAACCTTGATTTCATTACTATTTGCATGAAGAATTTATGTGATTTTCAATAGATTTTACATAGTTTTTATTTTTTGTGCAGCAAAAAACTTAAATGCATAATAATAGGAGTTTTTGTGATTAATTGAATATCTTTTAAAAGTTGAGGGATTGAATTGCAAGGAGAAAAGTTCCTTTGGAGGACCTAGATGAATGAATCTTAAGTTATGAGATCAAAATACTCATCATATAAAAGCTGGAGGACCAGAGCTGCTCTTTAACTTTGAAAAATTGCGAATAAGGGCTAGTAACCCGGTACGCATATGGTGTCGACACATATTTCGTTGTATCAGCACTATGAGGAGAGCATTTGAAAAAATAGATATGTGTGAAATAACTAGAAGTGTTAACACTTAGATGATGGTGGCGACACCAAAAGCACATCCCACGCTAGTAATTTCATTTTTTACCTTGAGTTCTAAATCTTTTCTAATAACGTTATTAAAACTCTATAAATATCCATACAAAAATCAAATTTAAGGTTTTTGGAGGAGACCACAAATTAGAGAGATTATGGCTAAGAGGAATTCAATATCAAAAAAATATTAAAACTTGAGATTTCATATCATCAAATTGATTTTATTTATTTTTAAATTTTATTTTATAAGGTTGAATACTCTTATATTCATTATAAGATTTTTTATTTTATTTTCTTTAATTATAAATTAATTTAGTCATTTAAGGTTATGATGTAACCTAGTCATTTTGATATAGAATTTCATGATTTTTATAGTTTTAAGATTTATTATTTTATATAAAGTATATATTATTCTTCTTAATACTTTTTAATAATTAGCAACCATTAAAACTAATTTAAAGAGAACAATTGAGATCGAGAGTAGATTTTATGCACTAACTTCTAGTAATATATACCATGAATTAAATGAAAGCAAAAAATGGGCTGATGTGATTCATGTAGTATTAGTGGTAAGTGGACTTGATTTTCTATGTAAACTAGCAAATTTCATAAAACCTAATGCATATTTATTTATTTAAATTCACATAGAGATATAGTAAATCAATGGTAAAGATATGTTTGGTATAACTTGAGAAAGTATATTGAATATGATATGAAATGTCACTATCATATGAATAATAAATACATTAAAAATATATTAATCTAAATTCTATATTAGTTGACTACAGTAAAATCGAATACTTTAGAATTTTACTATTTGTGTTATTTAAAGTTAATTTAGTTTTTCTTTAATTATTTTAGTTAATTAGTTCATTTATATCATTTAATTACAAATGTTTGAATAAAATTAGAATTAGTTAATTCTAATACTTAATTAATTTACAGTTTTTATGAGATGATACTTAACTTTCATCATTATATTACTTAAACTAACTAGTACTCTTATTAGAGTAAAATTAGTTTATTATATTACATACCATACTTATATAACATCTTGACTATTCATCTCTTCACTTTTAATGGTTAAAAGTTATTATATTTTTTATATGAAAAAATAATTATATTTAATAAATATAATAAAAATGTGAATAAATTTCAACTATTGAAAATAGAGAGAGATGAATGATCAAAAATTTGTATAAATGTAGTGCATAAGACTTATATGTAAGTAGTTCCTAAGTCATTGTTTAATATTATACATTTATTGTAGTTGATTTCTATCTATATGTACATTTTCATGATATTTTTGTGGATAATGATGCATACACCTTTCTTAGTTACACACTCTATTACACACACTCGCTTTCCGTTACTTAATCCATTAACTCCTAAATGCACCCAGCCCTTTCTTTCTTTCTTTCTCTTTTCCTTTCTCCCTCTTGCTATTTTGATTGGCATTTTCTCTCTTTTAGACATGGAGTTGGGTTTGAACTGTTGGACTTTTTGGGAGTTTTTAGAGAGAGAGAGAAAACAAATGGAACTTTCGTGGGCTGTAGGAACTCGCTTTGGGTTCATCAGATTCTCAAGAAGCCAATATCATGGTTCTTGGACAGCCATGTGGGTTCACTAGAGAACCCAAAGAACCCAAGATTTGGTTCTCAAGCGATGTGAGTTCTACCGACAAACCCAATCGTGGGTTCCGAATGGTCCTCGTTTGGTAGACACTCGATTGGCTTTTCCAACCGACGAGCCCAATTGTGGGTTCCAAACGGTTCTCATCTAGCAGAAACACGGT